GATGTGAATATTGCGCTTTGAACGTAAACAGTTCTTAAATAACACACAATAAACTAAATTTGTGAAATATAGACTAAACATTGAGAGAACATTGTTGCGCGTTGGTATTTTTTAGATGATGGATAGACATAGTATCATGAATTATCGGTTAGTTGTAAAAACATACCCCGTAAACGTCCTTGGAGTGTTTTTTTTGTTTCAACCTGTTTGCTGGTAGCCTAAGAGGCTATTCCAAGGCTCAGCCTGAGCGAATTTGCCTAGCAAGAGCAGTACTTTGCAGAATCTACCACCGGATCGGAATCGCGACCCGCTGAGAAGATCCGGCGAGAAACTCAGTGGGCCTTGGAGTGTGTTAAATGGCCCGCAACAAGCAGGTGGTGAAATAATGTCGATTTATGCGGGAACATGTGCTATGATCCAATTTTGGGGTCCTCCTCCTCCTCCTCCTTGGAGGTCGGTCGGTTTCCTCATTACTGAGGGTCGTGGTCATGGCCTTCAAACAGTTTGTTTTTTATAATGCACCGCCATCTGTTCCTATCTACAGCTGAGTGCAGAGCATCGTGCACTGTAGTATCCAGGGCTGCACGAATCTGGTCCGTCCAACGGGTCGGGTTTCTGCCTCTTGGTCGCTTGCCCTTTGGGGCAAGGAAATTTGGGGTAGGGAATAAGATTTCCGCAACACAATACAATAGTACGTGCCCGGCCAATAGCCACGGTTTCCCGCCTCGTGTAGTTATTATACCAGTTTAGCGTCTATCTCAACTTAACTCCGAAGAAAAATAAGAGCTCCAGTAACAGATTATCTCAAATAACTTCTGTTTTCACTACATGGTTGAATTTAGTTTTTTTCTATTAGAATATTCGCCACACTAACACAATATATGAAAATAGTCAAATAATTGCGCATCCTCTAGGTAGGTAGGTTAGAATAAAAAACGTCAAGAAATACCTACTAAAGATAGATACTTTGACCAGGGATCAAAAGTGATTCCTGTGGGACAGAACTCTGAGTCATTAACCAGTAAAACAATATGGCGATTATTATTAATAGTTTTCTGTTGTTTGTTGGTTTGTTGGTTGGGGACCCTAGAAATATGATACGAACAAACAGAGGCACGTCAAAGAATATGTCAACACAATTAAACTTTCACCAAGCTTTCTCTATCGGTAATTATTTCTTTCATAATGCTGCTTAAAAAACATTTGTATAATTAAAGTTAAATAAATATTAGATTGAAAATATGTTTTATCAGTGGTTTAGTAAAAAAATACGAAAACATTTTTGATTGAGTACAAATGTGGTCGGAAATACACGATAAATTATGTAAACAATATAATAAATGAGTTCAAGAAAAAAAACAACTTGCTGCCAGATCGTATGACGTCACGACGCCGATGTCGCCGACCACCGAGAGACTTGAGGTCTTTGTCTCAAATTAATTACACGAAGGGAAGGGTGGGAGCTCTCCAAACCGCGCACAACTGATTTAAACTATACGCGCGGGTCTACATTAAGTGCTACCACAAAAATGTCATGGTCTACTTTCAAAAATAGGGATCGTTGAGACGTCTTATTCATGCGGCACTTGTCATAGAAGTATATAAATAATAATAAATGAAAAAAAAACGAAGAAGTCTTTCGATAACCGATAGGTAACCGAGAAAGTCACAAATCAACATATAAATTGTTTTAATGTACCGGCTCCGTTAACCTATCATTAAGGGGGCCGTGAGCTTTGAGGAGTATAGTTAAAACACTTGTCATAATCGTATGAGTGTGGTATTTAAATAAAAAGAAAATTATAAGTACTAGAGGTCCCGCGGTAGTCGAAATTCGACTATAATCAATTGAAATTGTAGGTACACTATTATGATTGTATTTTATACTTCTATAATCACAAATTTCGCTAAGACTACACTATAAAAAATCTTAACAAAGACAGACAATATTTAATCTATTCTCAATTTGACAACAGACGTCAATAACAAAAGTTTGACAATAAATAGTATTCATGCGTGTGTGCGTCAAATACATGGTATGTAGTGTGTGTAATGTTTTCTATATTGATTTAATGTATCTTTTATGCATTATTTAAAAAAAATATTAGCATTGTGCACTTCTTCTCTATATTCTCTATAAGTGTGGACAATTTCATACTCCTACATCCGCGCAATTTTCGTAAAAAGGGATACAAAATTTTTGCTTCACGTATTAATATATAGATTGCTGCTACGTAATGTAAACGAGCACAGCAACATTTCTGTCTCAGTCTCGTGCATCGTCTTCAATAAATCACGTAACATGCGACAAGTCGAACACAAAAAAGCACGTGTAAGTATTGTCGCATGTTCATGTGTGCATTGTTCCCACGTTTGGTTTATTTTTGTTTTTTTTTCATCATTTCGCAATAAGCGCTAGTACAGTCGCATGATGCGAAACTGCAATCATGTTTTTATAGCATAGTTTTTATAGCATATAGCAATCTAATCTAATGTCTAAAACTTAAAAAGGCATTGGACGCGATCACTAAACAAATACATATTGTAAATTTTTTCGAGGTATTTTTTTCTCGCTTGTTGGTACGTTACGGATCTTACTTAACCGGATAAAAGACTTAGTTTTACGCAAATTTAATCTTAATAAATACCATCAAATTTAAAGGTCAAATGGGGTGGTTCGTTCGTTCTTTATATCTGTGTGATACTCATGAAAAACAAACTATAGGAATCAAATAGGGTCGCGCTAAAAAAATCTATCAACGTCTGTCTATTCAGTTATCAACAGTTTAAGAACGTTTTTGAAAAACGGAATGATATTTAAGATTTTTTTTATCAAACTAGACACGATTACACCGTCCAACTATGAGTCATTCTCTGTTGATGGTCCTAAATCTAAACGTGGCCATTCCACTGTGAATAGCCAATTTGTCAATATCAATCACTATACCTACAAGTTTTTATTTGCTTAGTATTTTCACATTGTTCGCACCATTATATTGTGCTTTGAGTGATGTAATTGACATTCAATTAAATAATGTGTGATGAAATAACATAATTACGGGAATTATAGTCTTTTTTAAATGAGGTCAGATGAATAAGTAACGTCCTAATAACCTACAAAACAAGCGTGGTCATCTTGAATTACTAACTCCTCATCATTCACAGTAGATAGATAATTAGATTAACTTTATTTTGTGTATTAACCGTTCCCCTAGTTCTGTGAATCTAGTATAACCCCTTGAGGTTACTAGAATACAATACAATACTAGGCTACAATTACTCTGTTCAAAGAGATTTGTGTGTGAAGTGTCGCTTATGGTTGGTTTTACGACTATGCGAAATTCAATAACAATAGCAGAACTTTTTTTGTCCATCGGCCCCTTAATGGCGGGTATTTGACGACGTTTTGTCAAATCGCCAGAATATTAATTCGATTTTGGTATTAGATAAAATAACAAAAAAGTTTAAAACTGTTATAATTTTTCCTACCCAAAAATATGTAACAAAAAAATCGATACTTAATTTTCAGCATCATATATTTTAATGTGTAAACTGTCAGACTCAAATCGCTAACACATGAAGAGTCAGCCATGACGCTAATATAATTAATATGAGTGGCACCCAACGAATGCTGACACGCTCATCAATCAATAACTTCACACTGCCGTTACTTATCTTATACCTTTAAACGAGCAATTCTTGTATATTAATATATATGTATATAATCTGAAACTCGGAAACGGCTTTAACGATTTTCATAAAATTTAGTATACAGGGGATTTCGGGGGCGATAAATCGATCTAGCTACGATTTATTCTCAGATAATGTTGTTTTATTCGTGTTTTCAATAATCAACTCTTCCGGACATCTTTTGGCGAATAATAATACTATTTTTCTTAATTGAGGGCAACTAACAAGATGGCGTTATCAAAAAAAAAAAAAACGAACAAAGCTCGGTCATCATCTAGTTCACTTGAAATACAAGCGCTTGTCTTGGTAAACACACTTCACATTTCTGAAAACAAAGCACCGCCCGGCGACTTCCGTGATAACGAAGTTGCAAAGTTTCTAACTGTAACCGGTTTCTCGTACAAAATCGAGCTTTTTTTTTGCTTCCTCGTATGTAGGTGGTGGATATACCTAGGAGCAAGATTAAGCTCATTCTATCATATTTTGATATAATAACCTATTTTTTTAATATATTTTTTATTGCTTCGATGGTGGACGAGCTCACATCCCACCTGATGTTAAGAAGGGGTTACTGAAGCCCATAGACATTTACAACATAAATGCAACGTAAAACATTTAAAACGTAAATGTAAATGAATTTACAACGTAATTTAGCATTATTTTTTTATGCATATTAACATGATATATTTAGAAAATAAAAGTGATTTACACTTTGGTTACATTCAGTGTGCAATGTACGAGGTTTGAATGTCAAAACTCATCAAATCAAATCCTTTTTTGCTCTTTTCATAAATAGTTTTTCATAAATTTCATATTACGTAAAGTTTGACAATATTTTTTTGTTTTGTTTAGATGGATGGTCGAGCTCACGGCCCACCTGCTGTTAAGTGGTTACCGGAGCCCTTAGACATCTACACCGTAAATGCCGCCACCCACCTTGAGACATGAGTTGTAAAGGTCTCACTTTTAACAGTACAACGGCTGCCCTGCCCTTCAAACCGAAACGCTTTACTGCTTCACGGCAGAAATAGACAGGGCGATGGTACCTATCCGTGCGGACTCACAAGAGCTCCTGCCAGTAATTCCGCAAATTATAATTGTGCGGGTTTGATTTTTATTACACGATGTTATTCCTTCACCGTGGATATTTCCCAAGAACATATTTCATTGAAAAAACTGGTACCTGCCGGCGGGATTTGAACTCCGATGCATCGCTACATACGAATGCACCGGACGGCTTATCCTTTAGGCCACGACGACTTTCTGATCTCTATTGGTTATCGGTCTCTTATAATTTATTGTATCCTCAGACAGTCCAGCATGGCTTCCCGCACAGAGCGTCAGCACTCGCGTGGGATCCGCTCCTCAGACTCGCGGCGCTTGGTACCGCCACCGGAGCGCTCAAGGTCTACGGCAGACCAGGCGTCGAACTCTACGGCCAACACACCAATTACGAATCGATAGTCACACAGATACATTTCATCACAGGTAAGCAAAGAAAATAAATACCTTCATCCTTCATTAATCCTCTTCGGATTATATATCGCATAGCATATAACTCCGAGACCATTGCGATTAGTTTATTCAATCGAGTAAGGCTTGTATATGATCAACTAGAAAAAATCCAACGCGCATAAGTAAATCTACAAAAATTATAAAAAAGTTTTAAAATGAATTGAAATGAGTCATTTGAGTTTGAAAATGAGTCATTCATTACTCTGCTCTGCCATTCATTTTCTTCTAAATTTATTATTATGGTGAGAGATATAAACTTCGAAAAAAGTCATAAGATGATAATATATTCATATTTATGGTACAGCAAACAAAAAAGTAAATTTATCATTGACAGTTCCATCATTCAAACTCAAACAAATTGTAACACTGTATCTATCTGTGCTGAGCTACGTACGTGACGCACTTAGCTAGTTTTTACCTCTTAAACTTCTAAACTTTTACTATACTTTTCCTTAGAAGCAATGGAAACTGTTTTTGACATTTACTATCATTAATTTACTTCTTAACATTGTTAAATTATATCGTTTCATAATAAGGATACTGTGACCTTGCATGGTAGTTGTCCACGTAGTCGTTAGACCAAGAAAATACCACATTCTCGATCAGCCGCTACCTCAATTAACTAAAATTACTATTCTCTAACCCAATGCCAATTGTACTTTATTTTTGGAACATGCGATTTTACGTGGTATCACCATATTTGTCCGCATCATTATGACGCAACGCCCAAATGAAGCTATTCTCGTTCGGTTTACAGGGACAGGCCGTTTGATATCACTATGCGACGATAACAGCCTTCACTTGTGGGAGATCAACGAGAAATCTCTAGTGGAATTAAAGTCGCACGTATTCGAAGGTAAAAATAAAAAGATATCGGCCATATGCGTCGAGTCGTCAGCGAAGAACGCTTTACTGGGAACCGAAGGAGGGAACATTTACTCATTGGATTTGAGCGCCTTCACGATCTCGGAAGATGTCATATACCAGGATGTCGTTATGCAGAAGTGAGTGATTAATCTAGATTTGTTTTTAATTTTAGTTTCCTCAATCTATTCGGTGAGGTCATGCTGATCATCATTGTGACCAATTGATTTGTACCACAAAGCTACTTTGGAAGATAGTTCAAAGGCTATCCCATTGCTCTTCACACTATGATCTCAGATTTGCAGTGCATAGTTGTTTTTTTTCGGAAGTCTTCGATATTTTTATTATCAATCTGTAGTAGGTACCAATTTTTCTAATGAAATACGTACTCAACAAATGTTCACGATTGACTTTTACGGTGAAGGTATAACATCGTTAATAAATATCAAACCCGTAAAATTATAATTTGCGTAATTGTTGGTGGTAGGAACTCTTGTGAATCCGCGCGGGTAGGTACCGCCACCCTGCCTATTTCTTCTGAAAGGTGGGGCAGCCGTTTTAACTATACTTGAGACCTTAGAACTTATATCTCAAGGTGGGTGGCGAATTTATGTTGTAGATGTCTATGGGCTCCAGTAACCACTTAACACCAGGTGGGCTGTGAGCTCGTCCACCCATCTAAGCAATAAAAAAAAAGTAAACAAACTTGGTTCTCTCTGATATTAATATTAAAATCTTTATATTCCAGCTGCCCAGAGGATTACAAAGTAAACCCAGGCGCGGTGGAGTCTGTATACGAACACCCTAAGACTCCTACACGTATTCTGATCGGATACAATCGAGGACTGGCCGTGCTTTGGGACCGAGAGGCTGCGGCTCCCACACATACATTTGTTTCGAATCAACAGCTCGAAAGCTTATGCTGGAATGACGATGGTAATTATTTAATTGAGATAGAATAATGATTATTACAAATTATGCAGAAACTTAGTTTCGAATGTTGCATATAAAAGTTCAATAAGCTAAATGACGGTAGAAAGTAAATATGAAGAGTGTAATATAATTGTAAATAGACATGCTAAAGATATTCCAAAACAAATTAATATACACTAAAAACAATTGTGCAGGACGAAACTGATTTTAAATAGTTTTATCAAACAAATAGAATTAATATAGTTAATAAGTGATTACGTAAAAAAACGTATAATCTTGAATTATTTAATATGCAATATGTTAGTGTATCAGATCAGAGAATGTGAATAGACCAATAGGAACAATTCGTGGAGCGCTTTCACTACGGTAACATACAGATCAAGGGACCCCCGAAAGTGGCGCGTCGATAGCGTGTCGCGAGATGGGGTACTGAAATAAATATAAAAGGATGGCCATTTATAGGCAAAAACAGTTCTCAGTGGATCTTCGACAGAAACAGTTCTCAACAGACCATCAAGACAGAAACAGTTCTCAGCGAATCTCCGACATAGAAACATCAAGACAGAAACAGTTCTCAGTGGATCTTCGACAGATACAGTTCTCAGCAGATCATCAAGACAGAAACAGTTCTCAGAAGCTCTCCGACAAAGAAACATCAGCAAGACAGAAACAGTTACCAGCAGTTCTCCAATAGTACAGTTATCAGAAAACCACCAGTGAATCAGCTACCAGTGAACCAGACAGTTACCTGTGAAACCTCGCTACAGAAGCCGAAACCCATCGAAAGAAACAGCCGTCTTCTACCAGCGCACAAACAGACAGCAGAAAATATTATTACACGACTCGGAAACAGCCATATAGACCGGGTCGTGTACAACAATTATCATCGAAATCGGTTGGCGTGTTATTGAGTTATTCATATATTTGTCGCGCACGTACTTAATGCAAATTTAAGACTTATATTGTTTTCTCATGAATACCATTATCTAAACTGGACTAAATTGAAATGGAACCACACGGGAAGCATCAGCTTCTAATAAAAAAAGAATCATCAAAATCGATTCACCCAGTCAAAAGTTATGAGGTAACAAACATAAAAAAAAATAGTTGAATTGAGAACTTCCTCCTTTTTTGAAGTCGGTTAAAAAGAAGGTTTAAAAAAAATTTCCTCATCAGGCGAGCACTTCACATCATCGCACAACGACGGTTCGTACGTGACGTGGGAGGTGGCCGGCGCCTCCAGCGACCGACCCCTGAAGGAGCCCGTCACGCCCTACGGACCCTACCCTTGTAAGGCCATCACCAAGATCCTGAACAGGACTAGCGTCGATGGAGAGGACATCACTATATTTGCCGGTAAGATTTAACTTAAAATAAGGAAAAAATGCGGGTCGTTTGGAAAATTAATAAGGCTCGTATTTTGGCGGGAACGCGAGGAGTTAAGTTGTGTGATTTGTTTTATTTTGTCTATTTAGTATTTCTCAGGTTTAAATGTATAACTTGGTGTCTGTGAAAGTGCACAAATGTGGGAAAATGAAACAAAGCGGCTGAACGTAACTTCTCGAGATCCTCCAAAAAGTCCACTGAAAAAGTCTCTGTAAATGACCACCATTTTACTGAGATTGTATTTCATCCCATATCATCTCATCTCGTTTCATTTTCATTTCATTTCGTTTTCTTTTCATTTCATTCATTCCATTTCATGCCATGTTTCATACTAATCAATATTCATATTACTTCATTTCCTAACATTTTTCATATAAAAAAGTTTTCATTAAAATTAAAATAAGACATGACCTAAAGGTCTTAGTTACCAGGTCATAAAATCCCTTAAAAAAGCTTGTATTTAATAAATGAACCAAAATAATTGTAGCGGCATTGTCTTCGATCTTGTGCGGTTTAATCTAACAATAAAATTTCAAAATGAATCTACTAATAGTTTTAAACGTTAACATTTCGAATGTAACATTATATTTATTTTGTAGTTAAAATAATATAAGAATTTAAGTCATTTAGAAAACATTACGGAGATAGGTTTAAGGTGCTTATTTAAAAACGAAATAAAAATTTGTAAATGAATTTAAAAATATAATTTAAAACTATTTTTACGATTTAATCTCACGGTTTTGACTGTCATTAAACTGTTTCTGAAATTTCGAATATTTTACAGCTTTCGCGGTCGCACGGACGTGACACTGTGTTTAAAAGTAGTTTTAATCAAAATTGTTAGCGTATTCGCAATATTCAGTCAAAGTCCACGAAATCGAGTATCTAAACTGCTGAATTAACATACAATGTCTGTGTATCGAAACAAACGAAACCCTGTTTCAAAAGTCGTAAGGCTGAATTTTGTTACAATTTCTTTCGACTTGTACAGTTCTGAACAAAATCCGTACTGTGAAGTGTCAGTAGTACTCATACACCGGTCAACGTTCTCGTCGAACTCGACGCTTGCGACGAAGGGCTCGAGGAGTAAATTAACCCACAAACACAGCCCGAGTGGGTGAGAAACTCAGTAGTTTCTCCCGGATCTTCTCAGTGGGTCGCGTTCCGATCCGCTGGTAGATTCTGCGAAGCACGGCTCTTGCTAGGGTTCGTGTTAGCAACGTCGTCAGGTTTGAGCCCCGTGAGCTCACGTACTAGTTAAGCTTACACTGAAATAGCCTCTCAAGGCTATCAGCTTAAGTGGGAAAAAAAAGTAATCGTACATGTGTTTATTTCTCATATGTTTTTCAATTTTTATCGAAGAATAGCTGTGAACGAGTTATCTGTATGTACTCTATAAACTTATGAACTTACAAACTTACTTTTTTTTTCAGGTGGCATGCCCAGAGCTTCGTACTCCGACAAGTACACGGTTACCGTGCAGCAGGGCGAGAAACATGTGGCCTTCGACTTCACGAGCCGGGTGCGTTATGTGTTTTTAACACGAATACATCAAACACTCTTACGAAAATATCATCATTTGACTTGCTACCTCTTGCATAATGGCTTCGTAATGGAAACATACATTGTAGTTAGTAGGGGAATAAACTAGTTGTAATTTTTTTTCCGCCTAATTATTGTGATAGCGTATTGTAGCACTGTATTCTAAGTTAAGCGTCGATTATTTAATATTAGGAAATTAATAAGTTGACCAATATAAGAGATTCAAACGTATTAAAAAAAGGTAGATCAGTACTTTTTTGCACTAATATTAAAGGTGAACGTGAGTATGTTTATCTAAATAAATAAATAAAAGATGTGTGGTGTTGTGGGACACAGGATAGGAAAGAAGTTCGTTATTATAAAAATATAAATTTTAAGTTCTATTCGAGGTATAAAGAAAATAAAACTGGAGGTTTCGCAACAACCCACGGTCATTCGGTAACGTGCGAACTTATTGTGGTACACTTCATTCACGGCTGTTTGCTTAAGAGTTAGTGTATTGGGCAAACGAACGCTCTGAGATCGTGGTCAGTGAATGATAAAAAATATGTTATTTTTTGTACGTTACTACAAAGTTAAGTATTACTAATTTGTACGTTATTACAAAGTTAAGTCGTACATTGTGTGCATTACTAATAAAAATCTTACGTTACGGACGTTTTTTCCCGGTTAAGGTACCTCTCCGCATCGTCCGTTAAGGAGCTTCATTCCAATAATATATATCCCACTAAAAGTATGTTGTATGTAAACAGGTGATAGATTTGTTCACAACGACCCCCGTGCCCCCCGACGGCGCGCCGCTGCAGGAGGAGCAGCCCGACACCCCGGCCCTCGTACAGGTGCAGGCGGTCAACCAGGTCGCCGCCGCTTTGGTCAGTCACGCGCAGTAACAAATATAAATATATAAAGCAATACGTTATTTGGTACAACTGAAAACGTTGTATTTTTTTTACATTCATACTCAATAAAATGAAATTAATTAAACTATGACGTCACAGTTCAGTAAACACATATTGAACGTTCATGAGAACAAACGTTATATTAAATCGTATCTCTGCAAAGAAACAAACCCAATTAATTTCCGTAATCACCGTATTGTTGGAAGCCTGTTTGGGAAACGACTCGTCTTCAAGTCTCCAATTCTCATGCCGTCCAACAGCACTAACAGCTTCCTAACAACTTTCTTCTTTTTTTTTTACCAGATGAGTGAACGAGCTCACAGCTGTTAAGTGGTTCCTGGAGCCCATAGACATCTACAACGTAAATGCGTCACCCACCTTGAGATATAAGTTCTAACGTCTCAAGTATAGTTAATGAATAAACTTTGTGGTGACCCAACCGCCCCACTTTGATAAAGCGGCACGACACGAGAACCCTCATCGTGGCTGCTGTTAACTACATTCCCGATCCTGCGGACAGAATGGAAAGCAGTCGACGTCGCCCCAAACACGTCATATCGGATCCTCGCGATCCACCAACGGCGCTTTTAAGTACCTCAAGCACCGGTCATCGTTCTCGTCGAATCCGTCGCTTGCGACGAAGGGCTCGACGAGTAAATTAACCCTCAAACAGCCCACTAAATTTCTCGCTGGATCTTCTCAGGGGGTCGCGTTTCCGATCCGGTGGTAGATTCTGCGAAGCACGGCTCTTGCTAGGGTTCGTGTTAGCAACGTCGTCAGGTTTGAGCCCTGTGAGCTCACCTACTAGTTAAAGCCTGAAATGGCCTCTCTAAGGCTATCAGCTTAGGTAGGGAAAAAAAATCTGACCCAAGGTCCGTCTGTCAACAGGTGGTCCTGGCGGAAGAGGAGCTGGTAGTGATAGACCTGTGCGACGCGCGCTGGCGGCCGCTGCGGCTGCCGTACCTGGTGTCGGTGCACGCGTCGGCCGTCACCACGGCGCAGCTGGCCGACGGCGTGGCGCCCGCAGTCTACGACAACATCGTCGCCGCGGGTCAGCCCCCATATATTTTAATAAAATACAAACCTAATTATAACTAATATTTACGAATGTTTTCCATAATGAAGATTCCTTTCAACACTCGCACAAGTTATAATTATCGGTACTATGGCGTATTGTGCACGTGCTCGGGTAGGTATTACCGCCTTGCCTACTTCTGCCGTGAAATAGTAAGGCGTTCCAGTTTGTGGGAGGGGGCACCCGTTTTACTAATTAATTGAGAGTTAGACCTTTTTTTTATATATGTTGATATATGAGTTCTAAGGTTTCAATATAGTTACAACGGCTGCCCCACCCTTCAAACCGAAACGCATTACTGCTTCACGGCAGAAATAGGCAAGGCGGTAATACCTACCCGTAAAGAAAATCACCAGTAAAGACCATTTTGAACATTCTTATGGCACGATTGTCAACAACATGTAATAAATATACATGGCACATACTTTTTTCAAGTGTCGTCTTTTGTCAATACGCAGCCAATCTTGTTTGATGTTCGAATCTCGACTTCTAGTCGAATATTTAGCATCTGATAAGTGTCTAATAAAATACAAAACCTTGTACAGGTCAACAACAAACGGAGAATCAATACTCTGAAAGTCCGTGGCCGATATCCGGTGGGGTGGTGGAGACGGCGGAGCTGACCGACAGACAGGTGCTGCTCACGGGGCACGAGGACGGCTCCGTGCGGTTCTGGGACGTGACCGGCGTCGCCATGACCCCCCTGTACAAGTACACCACCGCGCAGCTGTTCAGGTGGGTGCCGCACCGACACAGAGAGGGGGGAGCTCCACTATCGTGGGAATCTAAATGTCCTCTAAATTATTTTCTTACTAGCGACCCGCCCTCGCTTCGCTTCGGAAACTGTAATTTATTATTGATTTTTCCACTGTTTAATGAATGTTTATTATACATATAAACCTTCCTCTTCAATCACTCTATCTATTAAAAAAACCGCATCAAAATCCGTTGCGTGGTTTTAAAAATTAGAGCATACATAGGGACATATATAGGGACAGAGAAAGCGACTTTGTTTTATACTATGTAGTAATAGTAATAGTGATTTTTGAGTTATAGTTCTAAAAGTAATAATGAGTATTACCATACCTGTTATCATTGAACCGGTGAAACAAATCTCAGTCACTTTTCAAACAGACTTCTTACATTGCTGTTATTGCCGGTATAAATTCAGATAGGTTTAGCTATTATTATTTTGTCATAAAAAGTTGAAGCATCCATAAATAGCTTACAATATACGTATAATGTAAGCTATTTATGAATGCTTAACCTTTTTATGACTGAATTCCTAAAATAATTCTTATCAGCGACTTGGCTTCTAAATGTCTTAGAATCTAAAACAACGTCATACAATAACATTGGACAAAGTTATCTTAATTTATACCAGCAATAACAACGATGTAAGAAGCCTGTTTGAAAAGTGACAATGATGTTGGAAATGAGATTTGTTTCAGTTAACGGGTTTCGTGTTGAATTTTTTTTTTTTTTTACTTAAATATTTCTACTTTGAATTTATTTCTCAATTGTCTTCTTAAAAAGTAAATAATGCAAACAACAATGAACCATAAAATTTTTGAATTCACATTGGCCAAGTCATTTATTAGGTACTATTATTATTATTTTATCACTGGTGGTAGGGGACCTCTTGGGAGTCCGCGCGGGTAGGTACCACCGCCCCGCCTATTTCCGCCGTGAAGCAGTAATGCGTTTCGGTTCGAAGGGTGGGGTAGCCGTCGTAACTATACTGAGATCTTAGAACTTATATCTCGAGGTGGGTGGCGCATTTACGTTGTAGATGTCTATGGGCTCCAGTAACCACTTAACACCAGGTGGGCTGTGAGCTCGTCCATCCATCTAAGCAATAACAAAAATATTTATCTAAATTACAAAGCTTATATGATTATAATTATTTAAAGTATATCTATTGATACATATTATATATATAGCTGTCTACGATGATGGTTTTCAGCTCTAAGACTTTCTTAGTGCTCTTTGGATTTTTAAGCCAAAATAATACAACACAGATGTTTGTTATTTTTTTGTGTGTGTATAATATATAGCTTAACTGATCTAGCTTTAATAATGTTTTTCTACCCTCGCTTTTATCGCTTACTAACGAAGCGGCCTCAAACGTTCGACCACAAGGTAAACAAAGTATTTTGTAAGCACGTTTACGCCATGCAAGTCTGCGTTTGCTTTGACAAGATCACTTTTCATTTTTTTGCACTTTTACGAATTTTTTTATTGGTCGTGTTTTTGTTTTTTGTTGATTTTGACTACACGTGAACGCATGGCTCGTCAAAATAGACGAGAATAGTCGAAATAGATAGAGACCCATAGACGGAAATCGAGTGCCGTCGCCGTTACTGGTGGTAGGACCTCTTTACTGGTGGTAGGACCTCTTGTGAGTCCGCGCGGGTGGGTACCACCACCCTGCCTATTTCTGCCGTGAAGCGGTAATGCGTTTCGGTTTGAAAGGTGGGGCAGCCGTTGTAACTATACTTGAGACCTTAGAACTAGGAGTGGGTAATATCGGTTTTGCCGCGTATCGAATCGTATCTATATATCGAGGATCAATATCGGATATTGAATCTATATATTTTCTGAATCTATATATTGATGGATGCTAGTAGATTTTCTCGATTCATGATATTTGAGATTTGAAACGATACGCTGATATAATATCGTAGTAGATATAGATTTAAGTCAACTTTATACGGTTGGTTTTCTGATATCAATTTATAATATGATCTTAAAGTAATAAAAAGAACATGAAAATAAAAATATCAAAAAAACTTTCCTTCATGCTTTTACCAGGCTTAGGACTGGCTACATTATTTTCAGTTTTTAGTATTTTGTGTCTTAATTTAAAATTACAAAATATACCAAAAGAGTGTAGATTTCAAAAGTTTAATANCAAACAAAATGATAAGGTGTACGCACACAGTAGTGAAGAAGCGAGCAACCGTATTCCGCGTGTCCAACGAGGTCATTTTCCATCCTCGCTCACGGTATGGTTGGGAGTTTCTTATTGGGGCTTAACAGAGGTACATTTTTGTGAGAAAGGTGTAAAAACGAATGCAGTTGTGTATCAAAATACAGTCCTGACGAACCTTGTGAAACCTGTTTCTCATACCATGTTCAATAACAGGCACTGGGTATTCCAATAAGATTCGGCGCCAGCTCATAGCGCGAAGAACACACAAGACTGGCTGGCGGCGCGTGAAATCGACTTCATCCGGCACGAAGACTGGCCCTCCTCCAGTCCAGATTTGAATCCGTTAGATTACAAGATATGGCAACACTTGGAGGAAAAAGCGTGCTCAAAGCCTCATCCCAATTTGGAGTCACTTAAGACATCCTTGATTAAGGCAGCCGCCGATATTGACATGGACCTCGTTCGTGCTGCGATAGACGACTGGCCGCGTAGATTGAAGGCCTGTATTCAAAATCACGGAGGTCATTTTGATTAAACTTTAGTGTCATAAGAATCTATGTTTTGTTAAGTTCATTTTGGTATATGAATGGTTACATAATGAATAAATTTGTTTCAATTATTTTACATTAAACATGTGACAGAATTTATGACCTGACTAGGTATATATATTGCAGAGAAAATATCAACGTAACATAACATTGAAACTCTAGTTATTTTATGTTCTGTAGGTATCTACTGGTAAACCTAAACGTAGCAAGCCGACAGTTTAGGTACCACCATCAGCCGTGTATCATTCCCGATCCTGCGGACCGAATGGTAAAGAGTCGACGTTGCCCAAAACACGTCATTTCGGATCCACCCGATACACTAACGGTGCTTTTAGGTACCACAAGCACCGGTCATCGTTCTCGCCGAACCTGTGGCTTGCGACGAAGGGTTTGGCGGGTAAATTAACCCACAGACACAGCCCACTGAGTTTCTCGCCGCATCTTCCCAGTGGGTCGCGTTTCTGATCCGCTGGTAGATTCTGCGAAGCATGGCTCTTGCTAGGATTCATGTTAGCAACAACGTCAGGTTTGAGCCTCGTGAGCTCACCTACATGTTAGGGTAAAGCTGAAATAGCCTCTCAAGGCTATTAATATTAATATAATATTTTTACTAACAATCACTCCACGTTAACTGGTCCCGTGATAAGTTCGTAAAGAACTTGTGTTACAGGTACCAGATATCGGAAATAAATGTAAGATTTTTATTATACACATACATATATTTAATATACATCCATAACCCTGGAAAAGACATTTATATTTATCATACAAATATCTTCCCTTGGCCGAATTCGAACCCGCGACCCCCTAGTGTAGTGACGATGTCACTTACCACTACACCAGAAAGTAAAAAAAAACCAACATAGCATCCTAAGTGTACCATCGATTTGATGACACGTGGCTGTATTTTATCAGTCATTGAGCGGTATAGAACACTCTAGACTGGTAAAAGGTCGATTTCCTTAACAATTACTTTCGAGTATTTCTCTCACCGGTGCACTTTCTCTATTCATGCAGCCTCATCGCTTTCACATGTGAACTCGGAGCCGCTAATGAGAATTTTCGTGTAAACTCGTCTAAAGCCTAACTAATTTATTAATTATCTATTGTTTAGTGTAATAGTTCTTGTGTCTGCTTAAGCAATAAAAGTTGTGTTGAGCGAATTACACAAAAAATAAAACTGATTTAAAAGTAAAAGTGTTTTATTTTCTCTACGCCAAAAGCCGTAGGGAATTAATTAGATACACGTCTGAATACTTGTAAGAATAGTACAACTTATGTTCGATTATCGACATTATGTTGGTGATCATAGTGACGAGAATTACGTTTTACCATTTGGCAAAAATCAACAAATTTATCAACATTGGATCAGAATAAAAGTAAAGTCGCCGTGGCCTAAAGGATAAGACGTTTGGTGCATTCGTATCTAACGATGCACCGGTGTTCGAAACCTGCAGACGGATACCAATTTATTTAATGAAATACGTACTTAA